AAACACGGAATGAGCGTGTGCTGTGCCGCAGCAAAAGCGCGTCAAAACGCGGAAAATGCGGGTTTTTTTATTAAGGCCCTTTTTAGATTGTTCCAGATTTTTTATATTGTTCCAATTTTTTAAGATTTTTCTAATTTTCCCAGATTTTTTGGATTTTTTTAGATCTTTTCAGATTTTTGGGACTTTTTAATTTTTTTCAAATTTGTAGATGTCTCTAGATTTTCTTGATTTTTCAGATTTTTCTTTCAGATTCTTTTGAAACCAAACCTATTCTGAAAAATTCTCCAAATACTAAAAAAGAACTAAGTTAAAAAATCAAACAAATCCAAAAGTCTGAGAAAAATCACTGATAATACATGTGTTGAAGGTCCAGTCTTCCTCCTCTACAAAAGCCCAGGAATCCAGTTGTCCACTTGATCCAAGAGTCCCCAAATGTCTACATCTGGACACAACTTATCTCTTTTCATTAGCATTTGGCTTACATTGGCCCAGATCTCCCCAATCTCTGACCTAGAGATGGTTGACAGGTATTAGTTGCGGATACCTGCCAGTGGGTGCAAATTTGGGTGCGGATGGCCCCTTTTCCGCAAAACACTGGCAGGTATCAACGGTGGGCCACTACGCTACACTACGCTATTTGGCCACTACATGTTAGCGTAGCTGCTTTTTTTTTTGCTGGAAATCCTGTAGTGTTAGTTCACGCTACACACCGCTGAGCTAACTGCCAGCGTAGCATGAAATTTTTCCCTCAAATTTTTTTTAGTGTTAGCTTGAAATAATTGCCACTAAACTAACAAGTAGCGTAACTTTTTCCAAGCTAACAAAACTTCCACTAACCAACAGCATAACTGAGTTGACGCTAACATTTAGTGTAACTTATACCAAATTAAGCTACATTACGCTACACTACATGCCTAGTTACGCTACACTACATTAGAAGTTACACTACACATGTAGTGTAGTGTAACTCATCAATTAAAGAAATTGATTTGTCAAGCTGGATTTTTGCACATGTTCATATGACTGATACGGCCAAGGTCCACGGTGACGATTTTCAATGTCCCGTGATTGCACACAATCCCGCAGAATATGAACAGCACAAGATGTGGAGAAAAACAAACTGAGGATGTGCCTGGTGAGATTTGAACTCACAACCTCAGCAATGCTGAGTCACATACAAGAGTGCTTCCTTTACCAACTAGGCTACAGATGCTTGTGTTTGCCAGGTCATTTGGGTGGTAGTTGTCATGGCCCATGCCAACAGCTCCACCACACTCTGGTGATACATAATGGTAGCAGACTATCATACACATCAACACACACACACACACTGTAGTATGCCAATTGTGTTTCAAGTATCAAATTGCATAAAGTCACAGTCCAATATGTATAAGGGCATATATTCTTAGGCGTATTATGGCATAATCACATTCTACTGGTCATTTAACCTACAGTCACTCGCTGGAACCACTAGGCTAGCTCCACTCAGTCAAAAATTATTTGGGATTTAAGTTTTATTTGCATACAAATTGCTTATTGCATAATGCAAACCACAAGTTGGCCTTAGGCTGGTTACATATTCAATATTCATTGCATAGGGTAACCACAAGTTGGCCACATTGTTTGTAGGTACACAGAGAATCTTGTATAGATAGCAAAACCACAATTTGGCCGGATTTTATGCATATTTGTTATAGGTTAGGGTTAGAACCACAAGCTGTCCATTTATAAATTATAGGTTATAGGTTAGGGCTAGAACCACAAGTTGGCCATTTATAGATTATAGGTTAGGGCTAGAACCACAAGTCAGCCGGGTTGTAAAATAGACTATTTAAGGAGGGGCTTTCCCCCCCCTCATTCAAATTTTATATCATCTCATCACAATATCTCATCATCTCATCTGATCATCAACCAGACAGAACAGAGCAATCAATCCATACATTAACCAGTGTGATCTTAATCAAGTGCCCCATTGAGATCATTCAGACATTGAGAAGCATAGGAAAAAGAAAGTAGCAACCAGTACAACTTGTGATCTTAAAAAAAAGGGGACAGTGATCTTAAACCATTGTGCACTTGACCAGGATTCAAGGAGGAAGGGAAAGACACTTTCAATAGTCACATTTTTTTTCCTCACTATCATCTCATAAATTCACATTCATTATCAGTACATACATCAATCATTTTTCAAAATACATAAACATATAAACAAAAACATCTCTTACTCAACATTTCCACTCAAATAGTCTGCTGAATCCACGTTGATCTAGGTTTGATAAGAGACTGCTACACATAGTTTTCTCTATCATCAGTTTTGCCACAACAAATAAATAAATTGTTGTGTTAACTCTAGTGTAGTACAATAGAGGGGCAGGTCTTTCAAACCAGCCGTAACAGTTGTAGTAAATCATTACATACGTGATATATCTCATCTGCTATTTCCCCCTCGCAGGACTGCCACCCTTCCCAAAGGAGTTCTCACAACACCCTTGCTGCATGATGTCAAAGTGGAAATTGAACACAAGTAAGTGTGGGAATGGAACCCAGTAAATTAAAAAATGGCAGGGGGCTAAAATTGAGTGGCCCCCAGTACCAAATGAAAAAAATGATGATCAATTGAGGGGATCTGGATGTAGGCCCCCCAATCAGGCACTGTCAGCTCCCGTCTCTTGCGTGACTAGGAGTTGATGGTATTAGGGTCACACTATTGTTGTTTACACAACGTAGTGGAAAAGGGTCGCACTCTGGTTGGATAGCCAACTCAATGGAATTAGCTTCTTCAGTATACTTATAGTATTAGAAGAGCTGCTCCTTATAATTATAAGGGACGACAGCTGATTAGTTACGCTGCGCCAGGCTTAAGAGAAGAGGAAAGATTGGTACTAGTCTAGTTAATACTTTAACTGTAACAGACTAGTACAATTTAGAGAGAATAGAAATAATATGTAATGTAATAATAGACTACTAATAACCCCACTCACTTATTGTACTGTTGTAAAATATGTAAGGTTAACGGGTTGGTATGGTAATCTCTGGGGGGAAGGAATCCTAGAGGGATAACCTTCCTCCTTAAGTATTACAGAGCAGAGGTCAGTCTGCTTGTAGGACCGGTACAGTCCCCATAAGGTTATGTTATTTCTTTGGGGAGAAATGTCAAGAAGATTAAAGTACATGTGAGGAAAATCTCTCTTATTTCAGAAGATACACCTAAGAGAGATAAACAGGACTATAAGTATTTACAACAGAGATACACAGGATAAATCTCTTTGATAATCATAAGAGATAATTATCCTTTTCAATCTGAATATAACTTTCAGGAAAAGGGTAAATTAATAAAGAGGTAAATCTTTATTCATTTACTAAACATTTATTAACATAACTAATACACATAAAAGAGAATAACATAACTGTATACTTATTAACTTAATAATTACATATGATAATATTTATTATGTAACCCAAGGGGGTTACCTTATATTGTAGACACCTGGGCTAGTGTCTCAGTGTCTGACAGGCACTGTCTTCAGGGTAGACTAGCGCTAGTCATGTGGTCATGTAACTACATAGTCAGTTACGCTAACAGTTAGTGTAACTTTTAATCAGTTACACTAACAGTTAGTGTAACTTTTTCACCAGTTACACTAACAGTTAGTGTAACTGAGGGTACCACTACACTAACTGTTAGTGTAACTTTGCAAAAAGTTACACTAACATGTAGTGTAGTGGGTTCACCCACTAACACCACTAAAATTTCACTAACAGGATTTTGGGTAGTGTTAGTTGTGCCTTTTTAAAGGTAGCTAACACTACGCTAAAGTTGTTTTTTTGTTTTTCAAAAATCTTGTAGTGTTAGTGGGCCAAAAATTCCCGCTAACGGTAACTTTTGTGTAGTGTAGCTTAAAAAGCTAACACTACGCTACACTAACACTACGGTTAGTGTAACTGGCCCACCGTTGCAGGTATCCAGGTATCCCAAAGGATACTCAAGGCCGGAAGGGGAGAGAAACCCTTTCAGTCAACAAGGTACATGTACCTTGTTGACCGGAAGGATTTCCTTCCAGCTGTTGAGGTACACGTACCTTGCCGGCCCTTTAAAGGGCGGGTATCCAAGGATACCCGCTGCGGCCGACGGATACCCGCCAGCGGGTGCAGATGCGGATGCAGATGGCTATTTGGCGAAAAAAAGCAGCCAGATATCCGCATCCGCGCAGATATCCGGATGCAGAGCAACCATCTCTACTCTGACCACAATGTATCCCTTTTCATTATGTATCTCTTTTCATTGGCATTTTGTTCACATTGTATGAATGTCATATTTGTGATCACATTCAAATCATTTCAGGATCAAGTTTCTTATTGTAAACTAATACAAATATTACAAACATATTCTTTTAAGATTGTATAATCACAAATAGGATAAATACTTGTCTTGCTGACTGGGGATAGGCTTCTTTGAGCCTGAGTGATTTATAGCGAGGAAACCTGAGTAACTTGGCTGCAGGTCAGATAAAGACTAGTCCTAGCTTCCAGTGACAGTACCAAGAATGTGATACTATGACCTAAAACTACAGGACCTACATCCCAGTGAGATCGGTACAAGATTGGGACAGGATGGTCTGTCAGGCAGTCCTGAAGAAGGAAAATATCTACTGGATAGTCCACAGTATTTGAGGAATTTCAGAATAGAAGCAGAAAGACAAATCACACAAATTGATTTTATGTTCCCAAAGAAAGTCATTGAGATAAGGAGTCTCCAAAGGTGGCATGACAGGAAGATGATGTAATTCCATTTGCAATTCACATTCCAGTAACAATATGATTGATAAACACCAAAGCTGGCCGTGATGTGAGTACAAGGAGCTTTTTATGTAGAAAAACAAAATCATTGACAACCTTTTATTGCCAGGGCATTCACATATGAAGATTCTGGGGGAGAAGCAGAAAACCATTCAAGAGGCAAGAGACATATGGATGAAATAGTAGAAGGTGACCTGGGTGACTCAACAACTGATTGAAAATTCAACCCCAAAGAGAAACAGATAAAATAGAATTCTAACTCCAAAGAGGATTAGAGAGAAAAGGGTATGTATTCCTGGGTGTGCGGGCACTTTGAAGGTTTTCTTTCTGGGCACATCTTTATTGTTAGAGTCAGACTCCAGATCAGCAACTTGGTTTAAATTGTTGTCCGCTTCGTACTCATTGTCTCCCTTGTTGTCTTGCTTGTCCTTGCTGTCTTCCTTGTCCTTGCTATCTTCCTTTTCCTCACTGGCTTCCTTGTACTTGTTGTCTTCCTCATGCTCTTCATCCTCACTCACCGCAAAAGAATTGTAGTTGGCTTCAATGACTCCTGCATAGAGACTTTCAAAAGAAAAATAAATAATAATGCAAGGTGAACTCAAACAGCAGGTGGGGTCTAGATTAGCCAGGGGAAAGACTTGCTCGAATGCTTTGGAATGAAGTTCCAAGAGGTGGGAGTGTAATTCATACAAGTCTTCTTTGAATGCAAAGAAATTGAAAAAGCTGCCAGTGGCATTGTTGTAATCAACTTTCACATCCTCTTTTTCAATCTCCTCAATTGACATGCAAGGCTTTTTGTCTACAAAATTGTATTCATGAGACATCCATTGGATCGGGAAAAGAATCAACTTTTGTTGTTGATCAAGATCATATTTTTTGTTCATCTTGGCCAGTAAAAGATTTAAATTGAGGCCAGAGTCATTCACAGCCAAAGGCTCTTCCTCCAGGTCAACAGCAATTTGTTTTAGATAAGACCCTGTCTGAGAAGTAGGGGTTTCCCTTGGCAAAATGCTGGAGCAAAGAAGTAATGTATCATCTGTCATTATGATTGAAATCCAAAAACAAAGAAATGAAACTGACAAAGGGAAAGGTCACATTTCTTGCATCACTTAGATCATGCTCAAGTGTCAACTCTTCTAAATGAATCAATGCGTCCCGAGTGATTGAATGGCGGTGGTAATCAAAATTAGGGTTGTTTGTCATCTGTAATCAATGAAATCATACAAAAACCCATGAACATATTAAGTGAAGGGGAAATATGATCATTGACTAAAGAAAATCTTTCTGTGAGGTTGATACTGACCGCCTTGAGCCAGAATCCTGGAATTTTCTTAATAAATTTGCTGTGCTTTTTGTAGATTGGTTTGAGCAGTTTGACTTGGTAAATGTCTGAATTTGAGGAGAGAGGAGCTCTTAGACCCAATAATCAAACATACAAAGGAATCACGTAGTCAGAACAACAGTGGGCCGATACACTACACTACGCTATTTGACCACTAACTGTTAGTGTAGTGGTCTTTTTATTTCCCAGAAATTCTGTAGTGTTAGCTGACGCTAAACCCCACTACGCTAACTGTTGGTGTAGTGTAAATTTTTCTCTCAAATTTTTTGGTAGTGTTAGCTTCAAATAATCTCAGCTAAACTAACAGTTAGTGTAACTTTTTTTGTGCTAACAAAATTTTGACCGTCAGATAGTGTAACTGATTTGAAGCTAACATTTAGTGTAACTTATACCAAATTAAGCTACACTACACTACACTACATGCCTAGTTACGCTACGCTACAGTAGAAGTTACACTACACATGTAGTGTAGTGTCAATCATCAATTAGAGAAATTGACATGTGAAGTGAGAATTTATGCTCTTGAACCCTCTTCCTCTGCTTTCTGTTTTCAATGGAAAAGTTGTGTGAACTGTCCATATAACTCATACATATAGCTCATACAGCCGAGGTCCATAGTGACTATTTTCAATGTCCTATGATCACACACAATCCCCCAGAAAATGAACAGCACAAGATGTAGACACAAACAAACAGAGGATGTGCCTGGTGAGATTTGAACTCACAACCTCAGCAATTCTGAGTCACATACCAGAGTGCTTTCTTTGCCAACTAGGCTACACCACGGACATTTGTCTGTCGCTCCCAGCCGGAGCAACATCTGGGGGTTTCAGTGTGAAGAAATTTGAACCGTAGACGGGGAGAATTTCTTTGGGCAACAAAAATTAGTTTTTGATGGAATGGCTCAAGGGTCAAAAAAAGAGGGAGAGAGCCAATGATTTTCATTTGCTAGTAGAGCCTACGCTTTAAATAGACTACGTACAACAAGTTAAATCTGTGGTTGAGAGAAATTGAATATCAAAATGAATAAAAAAAATAAACAAATTCTTGAATAGATGACTGGAGTAAATGACTATTGATAAAGACTAGACCAGGGTTCGAAGACTACAAGGATTGCAGCACTAGACAACAGAACAAGATACCACGCAGAAACTAACAAAAATTGTATAGTAATTTGTATTCTATTTATTTAATCATTATCACTTATAAGAATAAACAAAAAAGGATTTTTAGGGATGAGGAGAGAGAGAGACAAAATTCCAACACAGTGGGGTTTCATGTGCAGTGACTGCGCATACTGCCGCAGTCACGCACACGGATTTGTCCAGATGTCTCTCCCCCAGGGAGCGACAGGCAATTGTCCGTGGTGCTACAGACCCTTGTGGTTGTAAGGTTAGTTGGGTGGTAGTTGCCATGGTTCATGCCAACAGCTCCACCACACTCTGGTGATACATCATGGTTACACCTCAAACCCCCCCCCCCCTTGCTACATGATGTGAATGTGGAAATTGAACAAGTGGGGGAATGGAACCCAGTAAAGTGTGATCTGAGGGGGAATTGAACCCATAATCTCAAGGTAGTCTGACAAGGGAATTTCATCTTACAAGTAAGTGTTAAAATTGGCAGGGGGCCAAAATTGAGTGGCCCCCATTACCAACTGAAAAAAATGATGATCAATTGAGGGGATGTGGATGTGGGCCCCCCAATCAGGCACTGTCTTCAGGGTAGACTAATGTTAGTCATGTGGTCATGTAAATTTTAATCAGTTACGCTAACAGTTAGTGTAACTTTTTCACCAGTTACGCTAACAGTTAGTGTAACTGATGGTACCACTACACTAACTGTTAGTGTAACTTTGCAAAAATTTACACTAACATGTAGTGTAGTGGGTTCACCCACTAACACCACTAAAATTTCACTAACAGGATTTTGGGTAGTGTTAGTTGTGTATTTTTAAAGGTAGCTAACACTAAGCTAAAGTTTTTTTTTTTTTCAAAAATCCTGTAGTGTTAGTGGGCCAAAAATTCCCGCTAACGGTAACTTTTGTGTAGAGTAGCTTAAAAAGCTAACACTATGCTACACTAACACTACGGTTAGTGGAACTGGCCCACCGTTGGTCAGAAGGCCAAGAAAGAAAAACTGACAAGCTTCCCATTCCGCTCTTAATAGCTCCTCATTGAATTCTAAGACCTGATCAAATTGAGCTTCACATAAGACTTCTTTGAGTTGTGATTCTCATGCAAATGTAGGATCAAAGGTGGCTGATTCAATGTGGTTGCTTTTGGTTGTCTCTGGGGCGGTTGTAGCAGACATTCTTGATGTTGGTTATGTATATATTGGTGGTTCTGTTGAACTCTTTGAGCTGCCCAAGTTGTCTCACTCGTAAGCAAGATGAATTCTAATGGCATTGCCTTGAGCTTGATGTTGTCAGGCTGGTCCTCAGCTAATTGGTAGATGACTATGCCCAAAAGACTCAAAGCCATTTGGGGATTGACATGTGTCAACACTTAAGTATAAAGCACCTTGTTGCTCCTAAATAAAAGTCAAAGGAGAGAGACATCAGAAAAGGAAGATGATAAAACTGACCAAGAGAAAAAAAAGGGATCTGACCTTTAAAATAGTCCTATAACTATCTTGAATGGCTGAGTAGAGCAAGTGAATGTCCTTTGAGACCGCTTTCCTGGTGGGTAGATGCTTGAGAACTGCCGGGTGGAGGATTGCCTTGTGGCTGGCATCTACAAGGGTGTAGAATGGACATGTGGCTTCTGCACACCATACAGCACACAGCTGTGGTACCTAATGGAAATTGATAAAGGTTCCTGGGTCAGTGAGGGAATTACTGGGGCTGAATGTTTTAATATGTACAATATGGGACACTTACCTCTTTGGGATCAATGTCCCCAGTACCAGTAATCCCAACACTGGCCAGATTGCACGTCTTGGATCCCTCTTGTTGTTTCCCGAGGCAGATGGCAGCTTGCTTGTTCAGGTTACCACAGGAGGAGTCTGACATAGGCTGGTTGATCTTGGTAGAACACCTATGTGCATGCAAAAGAAGAGTCATATCATGATATCAGAAAAGATACCAAATGAAATGATTTCATTTGAATGGAACTGATCAGATTGGAAGAAAAGACTTAAATTTTGCAATGGTAAGCAATCATGAACCTTCCAAACTTGTCCTTTTGATCAGAGAGCTCTGTTACCTTGTACAAATTGTAGCTAGAGCCAACAGTGTTGGTGGAAACCTTCCAAGCTTGCTCTGACAAAGGAGTAACAATTCAATCAGTAAACGGCAGCAGCAAGCTGTAGCAAGCAAATGGGAACAAGCGAGGCAATAGTAGCAAGCTAACAAGACAGAAACAAAGATTGAGCAGATGGAAAGACTAACCTAGCTCCTCTGCATTGGTCAACGGTTGGAACAATTGGCCCTGGCTTTGGTTTGGGGGAGAGCTTGGCTTATGAGTCTTTGGACGATGTAAGGCCAACATCCTTATTGTTGTGCAGTTGATCCGGAGAAGAAGGTGTGTTTGATGTGCAATCCTGATTGTGTGTTTCCTGGGTCTTTAATCGGTTGCAGGGTGGCATGGTTGGTTTGTGTAGGTCAACCTGGGGTGGTGGTGTACGGGTTGGAAACAGTTGATGCCTGGTACCACTGATATCCAACCCTATCTATGCCCTGGGACTGGATGGGTACCTGGTCAACGGGTGGCTATACAGGGGGGCTTGAGGAGGTACCTGTTGTGATCTAGGTCACATGGTGTGACTCGGCTGTGGCTCATCCAGCTGGAGGAGACTACATCCGTCTCCTCTGGGCCACACCTACTGGAATACATACGCTTACACCCCTCTGAGTCACTACAGTACCTCGGAGGATACCCAGGTACCAGTGCTGTTTTTGGCCAAAAACATATGTCAAGTTTTACTATTTTGAGAATTTTTCAGAATAGGTTTGGTTCTAAAAAAAACTGAAAGAAAAATCTGAAATATCTAGAAAATCTGGAGACATCTACAAAGTTGAAAAAATTAATAAGTCCAAAAAATCTGAAAAGATCTAAAAAAATCCAAAAAATCTGGAAAATTAGAAAAATCTTAAAAAATTGGAAAAATCTGAAAAATCTGGAACAATCTAAAAAATCCGGACAAATTTAAAAAATCTGGAAAAATCTAAAATATCTGGAAAAATCTAAAAAATCTGGAAAAATCTAAAAAATCTGGAAAAATCTAAAATTTTTAGAAAAAAATAAAAAATCTGGGGAAAAAAATTTTGCTTTTTCTACAGGATTTCCCCAAAATTTACAAGATTTCCCATCTGGGAAATCATGTCAGGGATGATGTGGGTTGTGGCTAAGCCATCTCAAGCGGTTCCTATGGATATCAATTCAGTTTTGGCTTCATTTGGCTTTACGTGGCCAGTGTGGAGGAAGGCTTGTAGTGACAGGAAAACCTGCTTCCGTTGCCTCCAGCCTTTTGACAAGGATCACGTGGATAATTGAGGTTGTCCGCTTCCAGATTCGAAATGGTTAAAAAAGGAGTCTTTGTTGCCATTTTGGAAGGAATGGGGTGGCAGGTTAAGAGAGGAAGATCAAGATTTTGAGCGCTCTTCTTACCGTTCTATTGGTGATTCTGCGGATAAAGGGAAGAAGCGTGAATCTATCTCGGAACTCGACAGTATTCACGCTCCAAAGAAGCAACTTTCTTCTTTCCATTCTACCTCAGCTCCTGTTCCACCTGTGCAGTTGACTTCTGCTCATGTGGACTTGATCTCGGCTGAGCCAATGTCACTCAGCGAAATCATGTTCAATCGCCAATTAAGTGAATTAGAATATGATGAATGTAAGTCTTCCCATCGAGTTTTAAGTTCTTCTTTGAGTAATCGGCCTTTATTTGAGGGCCACATGATCATCCATCATGATGATTTGATTAACATTTCAGTTTTAGTAGATTTGGGTGCTTCAACTTCATCCATTGAATCTGATTTTGCTTCCCTACACCATTTAAGAATGCACTTGTTACCTTCTCCATTAGCTCTTAGGTCGTTTGATGGATCTGCGGCAGTTACGGGAGACATGGTTCATTATGTGGATGGTACTTTTATGATTCCTTTGGTCACGGGTAAATTTTTAGAAACAACGGTTTGACTTCACGTGACGCGGCTTTCTTCAGCTTCTGTTATCTTTGGTAGCACGTGGCTTAAAGCTACCAATACTTTTATTGGAGGTTTCAGGAATGAAATTATTATAGATGGTTGTCATTTCTCTAATTCTTCTGTGGAAGATTCCCCTGGTGGGTTTTTTTTAAAAAAATATTCTGATGTATTTGTAACAGACAGTTTGGCTTCTCTTCCGCCGCATTGGGCAGGTTTTGATTTTGAAGTTAATCTTAAAGAGGGAGCTGCTCCTCCATTTGGCCGTATGTATAATTTGAGTAAACCTGAGCGTGATGAGTTAAAGAAATACATTGACAAAAATTTGCAAAAAGGGTTCATCAAGGTCTCATTGTCCCACACATCATCCCTGACATGATTTCCCAGATGGGAAATCTTGTAAATTTTAGGGAAATCCTGTAAAGAATTAAAGTTTTTTCCAGATTTTTTATTTATTTCTGAATTTTTTAGATTTTTCCAGATTTTTTCAGATTTTTCCAGACTTTTTAGATTTTTCTAGATTTTTTAGATTTTTCCAGATTTTTGGGATTTTTTCAGATTTTTCCAATTTTTCCAATTTTTTAAGACTTTTCTAATGGGCCTTAATAAAAAAACCCGCATTTTCCGCGTTTTGACGCGCTTTTGCTGCGGCACAGCACACGCGCATTCTGCTTTTAAACCCGCATTTTTAATTAATTTTTTTTTGCCATTAATTTCGAGTTTTTTTGATTTTTTAAAATTTTTTCCTACACTTTGAAGGGTGTAGAATTTAATGGTAAAGTCTATTTACCATAAAAATGACTTTGATTTTTTTTTCTGCTTACTCATTTTTTCAATTAATTGTTTGCATGCATGTATGTACCTTATTTTTTTATGCTTTTTTGAAATTTTAAAACTATTTCCTAGGTTTCAATGTGTGTAGAATTTAATGGTGCAATCCAATTTTTTTAAAACTCAACGGTTCATTTTTAATACTGAAATTAGACCCATTTTTTCACTTAATTTTTTACAGCTTAATTCTCATCATTTTTTGACATTATAAATTTATTTCCCACACTTTAAGACATGTAGAAAATGATGGTAACAACCATTTTTCCCCAAAATGAAAACTATACCTTGAATGCCACATTTGACACGTTTTTTTTAATTAATTCATCACTTTTTCACTTAATTGTTTGCATACATGTGTGTACCTTATTTTCTATGCTTTTTTGAAATTTTAAGGTTGTTTCCTACATTTAGAAGTGTGTAAAATTTAATGGTAAAACTCAATTCCCATAAAACTCAACGGTTCATTCTGGATACTGTAATTAGTCATATTTTTCAATTGATTTTTAAGAGCTTAATTTTCATTATTTTTTGACATTTTAAATTTGTTTCCTACACTTTCAAACATGTATAAAATTATGGTAACAATCATTTTACATAAAAATCAGTGCTTGTTACTGAATACTGCAGTGGACAGGATTTTTTTAATGTTTTTTTGATTGATTTTTACCGGCCTGATTTTAAGCATTTTTTTTTATTTTAAATTTATTTCCTACATTTACAAATGTTTAGAATTGAATGGTCAAGTCCAATTTCACTCAAAATACAAGCTTCAATCTTAATAGATGAGCGTACCCTGTTTCTTGCATAATTTGTACCATATACAAATTTTATTTGAATGCAAAATGGATACAGCCATCAATTTTGAAACCTTGAAAAGTGTAGGAAATGAGCTTGAAATTCCAAAAAATAAGGATAATTGAGCGTGTAAGATTTAATTCAGGAAACACGTCAAAGGCATTATTCAAGATATAGTTTTCATTTTGATGAAAATTCATTGTTACCATAATTTTATACATGTTTGAAAGTGTAGGAAACAAGTTTAAAATGTCAAAAAATAATGAAAATTAAGCTCTTAAAAATCAATTGAAAAATATGACTAATTACAGTATCCAGAATGAACCGTTGAGTTTTATGGGAATTTAATTTTACCATTAAATTTTACACACTTTTGAATGTAGGGAACAACTTTAAAATTTCAAAAAAGCATAGAAAATAAGGTACACACATGTATGCAAACAATTAAGTGAAAAAGTGATGAATTAATTAAAAAAAACGTGTCAAATGCGGCATTCAAGGTATAGTTTTCATTTTGGGGAAAAATGGTTGTTACCATAATTTTCTACATGTCTTAAAGTGTGGGAAATAAATTTAAAATGTCAAAAAATGATGAGAATTAAGCTGTAAAAAATTAAGTGAAAAAATGGGTCTAATTTCAGTATTAAAAATGAACCGTTGAGTTTTAAAAAAATTGGATTGCACCATTAAATTCTGCACACATTGAAACCTAGGAAATAATTTTAAAATTTCAAAAAAGCATAAAAAATAAGGTACATACATGCATGCAAACAATTAATTGAAAAAATGAGTAAGCAGAAAAAAAAAATCAAAGTCATTTTTATGGTAAATGGACTTTACCATTAAATTCTACACCCTTCAAAGTGTAGGAAAAAATTTTGAAAAATCAAAAAAACTCGAAATTAATGGCAAAAAATTAATTAAAAATGCGGGTTTAAAAGCAGAATGCGCGTGTGCTGTGCCGCAGCAAAATGAAAGATTTTGGAAACTAAAGTTTTATTTCTTTATTAATTCATCTTTTCTTATAACATGAAATACAATATATATTGATAAATGAGAAAAGGCTTTTTACCTAAAGGCAGAATAGAATCTGAACTAGGTAAGATAAAGAAATAATAATGATAATGACTTGATGGTTAAATGCTATGATCGGACAGGTATAAAGTAACGATCTAGAATAAAAGAAAACATGTTCATTAGTTTGCTATTTTATCTTTTCTCTAAAAGTATAAATAATTTGATAAAGAAAATAACTGTACTCGTTCTTGAGACTAAGTTATTTCTTTGTTGATTGTTATTTAGATTGTTCGGTTGACGGTGCTATTTTATAAGCATTTCTTTGGTCAGTTATATTGTTCTCTTTCTTTGAAATAAAGAAAGGCTATAATACTCACCGACAGACGATGAGGAGAGTCTATCGATGAGGGTAATCGACGTATTTCGGTTGATTGAACTAATAATGATTGTTGAAGCGAATAGAGTGATTGTTAATGATTACTCTATCTGCTTGATCGTTGATCATCGAGACTCACCTAGAGCTCGATGATTGACAATCATCATTATTTAGAATCATGACATCATTGACGTCATTTCCTCTTTCACAAGCTTGTCGCTTGGCTATGCTATTGCATAAATTATGTTCTTTACATGATCGAATAAACATGATCAGTATAAGCTTTAATTCTCTAGGTAGCTTCACAATCTAAGTGTGAGGCTTAC